GACATAGCCATTACGCTAACTGCTGGTCCCAAAATTAAATAATTCTTAAAAGAAAAAAAAAACCAAAACAACATAACTGGAAATGTAAGCCTGGAAGCTGTGTTTTTCTCACTGCCATTTTGCTAATTTTGCATTTCTATCTCTATTACATGACTACCTAAGCCTTTTGAAAAGAAATATAAAGCATTGTTTAAAAAGCAAGGCAAGGTTAATGCTTCATAGCTTTTATTATTGCATGAGACCCCTTACCAACCACACAATTTCTTGATAATTTCCAAGAATGGCCTATCAGAATATAGCACCAAAGAATCCACCCACCACTGCTGATACTATTATTGAAATAAGAGATTATAAAACATTATCTAAACAGCAGTGTTAGCTTAGCCTCCATTGTATCCTTCTATCTTTATCACTAGAAAAGGACCACGGGAAAAAGAGAAAGCCAAAAGGACTTAGGAATTTTCCTCATGTGTCTAATCTCTTGATAGTGATTAACTTGCAGTTCACAATTTTGACTACTATCATGCTCTCAAATAGTTAAATTGAAAAAGTAATGGTTAAATTGAAAAAGTATTAAGAACTTCAGTATATCAAAAGACCAAAGACTTTGGTAGAATATCACCAATTTGTAAAATCAACCTAGTTAAGAAATCATGATGATTGGGACCCGCAGATGCCATAATGGTTATGTCACTGGATTCCCATGTAGTCAACCAGAGTTCAAGTCCTGGACCCAGCGGCTTAAAACTCACGGGACCAGCAGTTGGCCTAATGGCATGTCGCTGGACTCCCATGTAGTCGACGACGGTTTGAGTCCCAGACCCTGTGCCTTACACTCACACCAGGTGTGTGTGCGTGTGTGCCCAAGATCCCTAGAGGAAAATGGAAGAGAAGGGGATTGCGGTGTGGCCATCCCCCGTGGGGGGTGATTTCTTGCTTTCTGTCTCTCTCTGTCTTTCTGGAGAGCTCACGTGCCCTATAGCAAAAATCTCTCTCTCAAAAACAAAACCAAATAAACCTCACACTGGTCATGTGAGTGTACATGCCATCCCCCCAGGGGGTGATTTCTCACTTTCTGTCTCTGTCTCCCCAGCAAGCACACATGCCCTATGGAAAAAAAAAAGGCAATCATTATGACATTTCATCTTCTCACGTACTTCAATTTAGATAGCAAATTTAATCTTCATTACTCATTTCATGTTCTTTTATTATCAAGCAACATCACGAAATTAGAATTTGGTTATACCTATGAAGTCAATTTTGACTTGATTTTTCACTATTCCCAAGAAGTCAAAAAGAAAGGAGGAGGGACCCAAGAACCCAAAAGGCTCACCTATTTAAAAAAATTATGAGTATATAAAAGCACTGATTACTGGCAATGTTGGTATTTACTAGTAACTAAAGTTAACTATTTTAAGGACATACACATTTCCCATAAAGAAGTCCACTTAAAAAAAAAAAGAAGAGTGAAGTCAATTCTTTTTTATAGGTTTTTGCTTTAGGCTGTGTGTACTTGACAGAGAGAGAGACAGAGACAGTTAGAGGGAAAGTGAGAAATCATGCCCCATGAGTGATGGTCACACCCTCTTGGGATCTTGGGCACACATGCACACAAGACTGGTGTAATTTTCAAGCCACCAGGTTTGGGACTAAAACCACGGTTGGCCATGTGGGAGTCAAGCAATGTAACTGCTATATCATCTGCTCTCTCTGAAGCCAAGTTTTTAAATAAAAATCACTTGACCAAAAAAGAAAATATGCTTTACACCAAGCACTGTTTTATTGACAAAAACAATTTTGCATTTAGGAACAAAGATGCTGACAACTGTCTTTCCTGAACCAATATTCCTACATAGAAATGGTAAGATGAGGGTGATTGTAGTTTGTTTAGAAGAGTAATGGTTAACACTTGTGTCAGAGTAATTATTAAAATGAACCCCCTTTCATTTTCAAAAGTATCCTAGTTTGGATAATTTATATAGTCATCTTACTTATAATTGATGCTAAAGGGAAATTACATTAAACTTAAATATCTCCTTTCCCACGAGAAGGTACCATGTTGGTTTACCATGTAAACACCTGGACCATCAAACACTTACAGCATTCCTACTTGTAGTTAAAAAATTAATCCCAAGAGATCCATAAATTTATTTATACACCAAGCACTATCTACAGATATTTGTCTCACATATGTAGGTGCTATTACACTTAATGAAATTAAAATCTTGAGATGGAACAATAAAATATGAGAAAATCTAGAGTGAACCTATCAACTACTATGGAAGCTGTTAAGTTCACAAATCTATTTCCAAAAATGAGGCTTACTTTTAAAAAAATACTTCAACTGATGAAAGGGAAATGAACTGCTTGATTTGCGAAACTGAATATATTTGCATTTGAGGAAAAAATAATGAAAAAAAATGGACACAGAAGTATTATTGTTTTCTTATACTGTTTATCAAAACTTCATATTATAGAAACAGAATACTTTTGGGAACCAGCAGTTAGCGTAATGGTTATGTTGCTGGACTCCCATGTAGTCGACCGCGGTTCGCGTGCCGGACCCGGTGGCTTAAAACTCACGCCAGGCGCGTGTGCGTGCGTGCCCAAGATCCCGAGAGGAGAATGGAGGAGAAGGGATTGCGGCGTGGCCATCCCCCCTGGGGGGTGATTTCTCGCTTTCTGTCTCTATATCTCTCTCTGTCTGTCTGGCGAGTGTACACGCCCTATGGCAAAAACCTCTCCAAAAAAAAAAATAGAAAAAAAGAAAAGAAACAGAATACTTTTTAAATTAATAGGTCATAAGGTTTTTGGAAATATTTATACTATACAAAAATGTTAAGGAACTAGACTTATAAAAGAAAAACTTGTCCTGTCCTAGGCTGTGGCCCCAAATTCTAATATCTTATTGGTCTGAGTCAAGGTAAGATGAGGCAGGTCAGTGATTTCTTTTTATTAATCCACCTGGACAATGTGAAAAGTAATATGCACATACCCTTGTTCCATTAACGCAGATGCCTCACTTGACCTGCTGTAGGCCTTAGTACATGTTCACTAATCTGAAAGATATTCAGGACCAGCAGATGGCGCAATGACTACATCGCTGGACCCTGCGGTTTGAGTTTCGAACCCAGTGGCTTAAACTCACGTTGGGCGGGTGTGCATGCGTGCCCAAGATCCCAAGAAGAGAATGAAGGAGAAGGGAATTCGGTGTGGTTATCCCCCCGGGAGGTGATTTCTGGTTTTCTGTCTCTCTTTCTGGTGAGTGCATGTGTCCTATAGCAAAAACCTCTAAAAAAAAAGTCTGAACGATATCCAACCAGCTTAACATTTCTAGATATCATTTTACCACTGAACTATTTCTAAAAAACATTCTTGATTTTTAATTAAGTTTATCAAATTATATGGAGAGAGCACTAACAGCTAGCTGCCAGAAAAGTTTCACCTACTTCATAAAACAGATTACCTCAAGTGCTAACAAAATTTTTTGATAACAACTAGCACAAGGGGAAAGAGGTTCAGATGCAGAATAACTTATAGATTTCTTATTATAACATTTCCAAATGTTTCCATTACCTTTTTTTTAAGAACTATTTTATTTAACTTTATTTATTATTATTTTCCAGTTTGATCAGCCAGAGAGAGAAAATGAGAAAGCAAACCACCAGGTCCAGGACTTGAACCATGATCGGACATGTAGGAGTGTCCTGCACCTTAACTATCACGCCACCTGCTGGTCCCTCCATTACATTTTCAATATAATCAGACAAATAAAGTCTAATTTGATCTGACTTGATCAAACCAAGGCACCAAAATGTAGTGACTTCAATGTCAGACAAACCCGGGATAAAATGAGGGCTCTCCACTTACTAGCTATTTAACTAAGGAGAAATTACTTAACCTGTTCTCTGAATCTTCATTTCCTCTATGAAACAGTTAACATCTTTATAAAGCTTTACTGTGAAGATTATAAAATAATGCATGCAAAGTACAGGGCCTAGCACATAAGCCTTCAATGGTAGTAATGAATATAGGCTAACCACCCACATCACTTTGCCAGGAACAATCCAGGTCTACACCTGTTGTCCAGGAATAATTACTAATAATGTTCCTTTTGCTCTTAAAAGTGTCCTGATGAGAGTCATAAATTATGTGGTTACCTTGATGATGATAATGAAAAGTTAATAGTAATCAGGGTACTATATATGACTTCTTGAATCTCAGAGAAATCAAATACTACAGAAAATATAAGATTATACTACTATAAGATAATCTATTTCATTTAGTTATTCAGTGAACATTTAAATGCTACTTACTTATAGCCATATCATTCCAACAATTATTGAAGGCAATAAATTTCTGTTCTGTCTGTTCTATACAACTACTGGTAAACTTCAGGCATTATTTTAAAAGAGTAAAACCCACAGATAAAACACTGGAAAGTTCCAGGTACTCAGAAACATTACCCTTTGAATTCCCTGTGTAAAGTACCCATTTTCATGAAGGATACCCAACACCAACTAATACATATCAATGAGCCCATCCAATTACAGGGCCTGCAAAATAGAACAATAAGTATTTGTAAACATGCATTCTATATATAAATCATCAGGAGACGCAACAAAAAATAAATTACCTGACTTATGACATAGTATTGAAATACAATAAACTGGATTTTAGTTATCTTCACTCTCTGCTCTAGAAAAAAAAAGAATCCATTATTCTTCCTCTTTCATAAGATACACACTTTGAAACAGAACATCCTAAAAAAATACACATCCTATGTATTATAATTACACACACACACACCATAACCCAACCTAATTCAATATTATTGATAGTATTAGTACATTTGGAGTGATCAAGATCAGAGGGAATCAGGAGCCATACGATTTCCTTAAAGACTGATAGTCAATCCACTTTTTACTATAAGCTTGCTTAAAAGTGGTCCTTTCCTTATCAGACCTGTAATTATTTTCTGATTCTGACAGTCTCTTTCTAGGACTTACTTGGCACATTACATTAGCGTGAGCCAGGAACTAAAAAGTATTTTAAAAAAATCATAAGGACATCTTCGGCTAAATAGTGTTTATAACATTTTTTCAGTGAGTGTCCTAAAATTATATTTTAAGAAAGTGTTTAGTCTGAGTACTTAAACTATGTTTTTACAGTTTAGAAAACTGATGGGGGCCATCCCTGTGCCTGTATATACCTGATGGAGTGATAGTAGTAGTTACTTTAGTAGCAGATTGCTCACTATTTTCTTCCTCCCTTCAATCGTGCAAAACTGCAGTTAACTCAGATTAAGGAAATGCGGGCTCCTCATCTCCAGCAAATAATGGAAGACAATCTGATATAAATGCATCCTCTTGCCCCCAAATGAAAAAAATGGAATAACAAGTCTGCTAGGTCTTAGATTCCCAGGCTAACCTGTGGATTAAGTATGGTGAAACTGTCTAGGGAAGGAACGTGGCTGTCTCCTCCATCTTGAAATTAATCAGCATAAGGGAAAAAGGGACTGAGTATTCAGGAAGCAGAAGCCCAACCGGTTAATACTAGTTACTAAGCTTAGGGCGTACGTGGCAGGTACCGCCCGCAGAAGCCCAGAGACCCTTCAGCTTTTTTATTTTTGGAGGGGGGAGGGGTCAGGCTGTTGGAGAATTGAACGGAAATTAACTTGGAAATAATTTGGCCCATTTCCCACCCTTTCCCAGGGAAAAACAAACACGCAACGGCTTTTCCCTCCCTTTTGGGGGATCTTCCAGTGATATCTGGCAAAGGATACGCCAGAGTTATTCGAACATGGGAGTAAACCACATCTGCCTCAGATCTTCAGGGAAGATGTCATCTTGGCCCCAGGGGGGCGCCTAATTGGTAATGCCCCGCAGAAGGGCTCAAAATGGGGTTTTGCAAATCCTGGGGAAATCTAAAGGCCCAAGAGTTCCCAGCATCTGACGTACAGCAGCCTGATTTTTGTTCCTCTTTTTCCAAACCCAAGCTCGTCATATACAACGCGGGGAAGCGAGGGCAACCCCCCAGAATAGAGGAGAGAAAAACCCGACAAGATTCTCACGCCTGAGGCCAAAACTCGAGTACCGCCTCCCCCGAATTCTTAAGGTTCCAGGGGGCCCAGGCTGCAGCTCGCCTCGCACCGAGAGGAAGTACTACCCACCTCCTTCCCCTTCTGCAAAAAGTCCATCGATTATACCACCCAACTAAAATGGCAGCGGCGCCTACGCCACGGAGCCCCCCACAGCAACGGGCCTGGGGTCCGGAGGCGGCGCTCAGCCTCCGGCCCC